ACCCATTCAACACCACCCGCGAGGGACACACTCCAAATACACAGATGGGAACGAGATCTGTGTACACAGATCACACCACGATCTGTGTAAGCAGCGGGCCCACACACGAAAATACACAGTTGAAGACACAAACAGTGTACACAGATCACGCGTTCATCTGTGTATCTCGAATAGGTAAGCGCTCGCCACCTCGAGGGCGCCCCGACTTTGCCAGCCCAGAACCGAAGTTGACGTGCCCAGCTGGGGGGAAATGCAAATGCACACTTCCCCGGCCCAGGGCGCCCCCGAGAGAACCGCAAATGCACGCTTCCCTGGCCCAGGGCGGCCGCGGTGCAACGCGGCGCCAAAGCGGCCCCCAACGGCCCGAAGACGCCCCAAAAGGCCTCGAAGGACACCAAATAAAGCCGCGCAGCAATCCGAAAACACGAGAGACGTCACATGTCACGGACCTCTTACAAGTCAAAGCTCCACGCGCCGCCATATAGAACACTGCTCCGGCAGGGGGGCGGACCTTGCCGCAGGCACTTATAATTTACATGTTAGCGATGCGACTGTGCTCGGCGGCCGTGCCGCCCAAATGTTGGGCGCGCCCCGAACTCTCGCATTGGCAATCCCCTCTGTTTGGTTGCGCCGCTGTGCTCGGGCATCGAAAAAGCATTTACCGCTGACGCGGGCACGCGGCACCAGGGACTTCACTTTTCGAACAAGGAGGGCGGGCGTGGTAGGACGACGGACGGTGGAGCAGGGAGGCAAAGAGGAACGAGGAATAATAAGGGAGGTGGGAAGGGGCGCTCCCCCGCCCGAGCCGCGGACGCTTTCGACACCATCCAGGGGAGGGAAGACAGGAAGGGGAACGGAGCAAGGGCGAGGACGACGACGGGGAGCAAAGTGTTCCAGGTCCGCATATAGCCATATGTCTGCGATTCGGGTGCGCGCGCTTTCTTCGAGGCACTTCAAGCCGGACCCATGCTGAATTCACGAATCCCTCAAAACTGTGTAAACACTCTGTCCTCTGTTCCCTCTCCTATACAACGGCCTCAACACAGAGGGGCAGTGGGCTCCAAGTTGCAGCGCTACCTGCATCAAACTGCGCGGGAGTCGGTGCCAAGAGCCCGGCTCGGGGGGGCCTGCAGGAAGGCGCCGGCGCCTGGGGCCGCCGCCAAGTTGAGGTGGGCTCTCGTGGAGAGGAGCCGCTGGCCCCCATGCTGGGTCGAACTCGATCCAGTCCGCTGGCAGGACTGCCTCGTTGAATGCCTGCGTCGCCGCCGCCAGGCTGCCCCCGCCCCCGCCGTCGGCGTCGTCGCAGGCTGCGTAGAGCTGTCGGCGGAGCTCGGCGCCGCGGGCGCGCGAGGCCAAGCAGGCGGCCGCGGCGTGCTTCTCGGAGGGGCGGAGCCCGAGCCCACCTCAGCTGAGTTCGAGCTGCGCTTGCTTCCAAGAACCCCAGAGGGGAAGGACCCGCTGAGTTGCTCCAGGCAGGCGCGGGCGGCAGAATCCATGGCCTGCAAAGCGCCGGTGTGCGCCGTCGGCGGGATCACGCGCACGGAGTAACCCAGCTTGCAGAAGGAGGCAAACTGGCGGAGCAACTGCATGGCCACTCGAGCGTTCTCCAGTGCCCCGAGAGCTCCCAGCAAGCTAGCAGCCTTGCCCACCCGGTCCTGGGTGTGTTTCTCGCAGAAACGGTCGTCTCCCACAGGGGCGCCCAAGAGTTCGAAGCTGTTGTCTCCCCGGAGGCGGAAGCCCTGCGGAAACGCGGCCAAGTCCACGTTGCTGTCGGCACCGCTGGAGGGCACCACCTCGCACTTGCTGGGGCCGGTGCTGAGGTCCAGGCCCACCGCGGCCAAGCGCCCCACCAGGCGGCGTAAGAGGCGGGCGACTGCGGGCGCGTCCCCTGCCAGGCAGCCGTCGTCCAGGTAGAAGAAAGCCAGGTCCAGGGGGCCGCCGGCTGGGTCGGTTGGTTCGGCGCGCGCCTGTACTGCGCAGCGCTGCAGGGCGAGCGCAAAGAGCAGCGGGCCGAGCGGGCCCCCTTGTTGGACACCGCGTTCGGAGCGCAAGTCTTTCTTTCCCAAGAAGAGCAGCGTCGGGGCGCCGTAACACCAGTCCACGAAAGGAGCCAGACTAGGGAAATCCTCGTGAACGGCTCGCAGGACCGCCTGCCTGTCCAGTGTGTTGAAGGCGTTCGACAGGTCTAGCTTCACGAAGACCTTCTGGCGGTCGCCCTGGTTTCGGCTCCACCACTGTCGCGCGACGTGGACTGCTACCTCAGCGCCCCCGGGCGCCGCCACCGAGCTGCAGCGGCGCCAGCCTCGCGCGCGCTGAGCCGAGACCTCACTGCACAGGCATTTGCCCACCAAGCGGCGCAGCGTCTCCCCGACGGCGACTGGCCGCAGACCGCCGTCTTTCTTCGGGGGGACCGCCAGCGAAGCGCCCGCGATGAATTTTGCTGCGGCGGGGGGGACCTGACCCCTGGCGAGCAAGTTGGTT